TAGATAAAATAGTGCTGTAGGGAGACCACAGTTTTCCCTTTGCATTAGCCCATGAGAGTTGTGGCCCCTTTTAGTGAGTAGAACCCCATGCCCTTTTTTGTCTTCACTTCCGTTCTGGGAGGAACAGCCTCTTTTCCTTCCTGACCACCAGAGTGTCCACACACGTGGAAACTGGTCAACATGTGTACGGCCTAACGAAACAAATTCATTCACTCATCTGGGGACGACCAAAGGCCATGAAATTGGTAGGTGATTTCTTTGTACTAATTCTGTTTAACCTCCTCGTTCCTTTGGGACAATATGGACAATTATTTGTTTTGGGGCATGTATAAATCTTGTGTATATATTTACGAAGGCTGCTTGCCGTATTAAATGTTTCATTGGTTACGCTCGCGTATTTCGTCTTTTCATATTCGCATTCAGTGTTAGTGTATCAATGGCTACGCTAATGCTAATATTAGTATCGGTGTGCTACTGAAGGCTAGAACGCGTTATTCTACCTAACATAGAATAGTCAGTAAACTCTGTGTGGCAAATACACACCATATACTAATAGTGCAAATTTCCCTACTTTCCAAAGAATTTATTTTTTGATTTTCTTTAAGAACAGATTTGAATCGCATCCATTCAATGTAGAGCCTTATTGAAACCAGATAATAGAATTTATTTATCAATCCGACATATTTCTATCACTTTAAACGTCATATTTAGTGTATACTCATATTTGAGTAGATGCTTCATTTAATTATTAAACAGTATATTTTATTTTTTTTTTGTGTGTGTGTCTGCCGGCTTGAATATTCGAGAAATCTTATTAAAATTTGGACATCTCAAAATCTTTCGACAGAGTTTGACATACAGGTCTTCTCTACAACCTGAAAAGTTACGGTGTCTCCGGACAAATTTCTGAACTGATCCAGTTTATCAAATCGCGAAATGAATATTATCCTGAACGGACACTCGTCTAGATCCTTTCGTACTAATGCAGGTCTTCCCCAGGCGTCCATCTTTTGTCTTACTTTGTTTTTAATTTTCATTAATGACCTGCCTGATGGCATCAGCTTTCAACTTGGTATCTACGCTGATGACAAAACCATTTACTTCTGTATCGATAGTAACTCTAATCAGATTGATACGGCCAAAATGGCAGCTGATATACAAAATGACATACAGTTGGTTATTAACTGGGAAAAAGATTGTCGGTTAATTTTATCGCCTCCAAAACTAAACTGCTCACTATTAAGCGTCTGAGAGACCCCCTCTCTGTCTTTCATCTGCATGGCTGATGCTGACCTCCAGGAGAGTGATTCGTTGTGCTTTCTTAGGATAATGTTCTCGGCTGACATGAAGTGGAAAGACTATATTGAATCCATTGCTAAGTTAGCTGCTAAGAAGAAGTTTGGTTCACTGTGTCGTGCGAGACAGTTTTTCTCTCTAGAATCTATCTTACATATCTATAAGTCTACCATTCGTCCATGCTTAGAATATTGCCATTAAATATGATCCAGTGCCCTTCGATATTTATCTAAAGTTCCTTGTTAAATTTCAAAGAAAAATCAGCAATATTATTGGCCCTAATCTGGCGTCTCGCCTTCAGTCAATTTCTTACCGACATAAGGTTTCCTCTCTGTGCCTTTTCTTTATGATAATTGTTCGGAGGAGCTCTTCGTTATGGCACACGGATGCAGTACTAGATTGGCACCGCGATCTCATCAATTTACATTTGATTTGTCTACATGCAGCCGGAAATTCTTCGCACTTCTCGCTTGTGGAATACCTTTCCAGCTCCATGCTTTCTAGCCAACTTTAATCTGTGAAAATTGAAATGCAATGTCAATCGCTATCTAGTGTCCTCCTGATTACCATTTTTGTTCTCACTCATTATTAATGCTTCTGTTTCTAATTCCTCCACCCCCAGTAACCCCTTGTGTCTTAGTGGCTTTAGCGCCTTGCATTTGGTAATCTCGAAAAAAAAATATACTGTTTAATAAATAAATGGGGCGTCTACTCTATGAGTATCCAGTAAAAATAACGTTCAAAGTAATAAAATTGTGTTTGTGTATGGACGTTGGAGTAGACGGTAAGAATAATATTTTATGAGGTTATATAGGAGAGGTGATGATTACCTCTAGAAGTGAAGAGATTGAAATTGTAATGATCAGGAAAACGTCCTCTCTTGGAAAAAAAAAAAAAAAAACTTCCTCAATACCTGTCTATATTTCTGAGATGAGGTATAATGATTACTTACATTATTTATATTATTCGGACAGTTATCCTCATCTTCATTGCCATATTCACAACTTTTCAGAACGAACTCTTTATTTCGTCCACCGGGGTAGATTGTTCTAGTTCCACGTGCCATGCCTCTTCCGGATGTCTCAGTTATTTCCCTTTAACTAGACTCTCCAAGATTTGGTTCACCACTGCCGTGGCCTCGTATTGAACTCACAACACTTTCGGTTTAGTCACTGGATCTAACCAACGTCTTTATCCACTGGGCCATGTGTCCTTGAGGATCCAGATCCAGTGAATAGACCCAAAGGGTTGTGAGTTCAGTACCAAGCCACAGCAGAGGTGAACGACGCTTGAAGAGTTGAGTTAAAGAGAAATAACTGAGACACCCGGAAGAGGCATGGCACGAGGAACTAGACAATCTACCCCGATGGACGAAATAAAGGGTTCGAATCGAAATTCCAATCACCTGAAGAAGGCCGGAGCTATACAAAGGCTGGAACGTTGTGAATATCGCAATGAAGATGAGGATGACAGCCGGAATAATATAAATAATGTAATAAAAATTTCTTGTTACTATGTCATGTCTTAGCTACGAAGGTCAGGATTAGTGGAACTAAATGTAGCTCGTCAGAACATTTTCAACTAACAAGAGGCTTGGAACGTTTCGTCTGTAAGGGAAAGGGGTTTTAGAGTGTAAAATATTTCATCGCCTCTAAGACCGCGTAGATGCTTTTGGTCGCTATCAAGACTGGAATGTGAAACTTGGTCAACCCAGATATGGCAGCAATACTCCATTTTTGGTCTGATCTGGTTTTTGCAAAGATAGAGCATGACAAAAAAAGTCAGATGTTTGTACGGTACAAGTTACGACCGTTTTTTTTAAGTACCTTTAGCGATGGACCGTATATATGAGATTTACTTGTGGTTTGGGGTGAGTATGAGTTGCTAGAGCCGTTCAAAAAACTGTAATAGGGTTTTTAAAACTATGAAATCAGTGTAAAATTTTTATAAATTTGTACCAGCTCATTAAAAACTACCATCATATTTGAAAGTTGTTAAGCAAATATTAATAGTTATCGAATATTGTTCAGAGGGCAATAACACTGAGCCATCCAGTTATTTTATTTTTCTATTTAACTTCTTATAAATAAAATTTGATGCTTGTTTGGTGTACATAAACATTTGTACAAATATTATTCCAAATTTATTCATGCAGACATTGATTTTTGCGAGAAATTCATTAAAGAAAAACCATTTTTAAAGCGGAGTGCCAAGAGCTGTGCGCATGAGTGCGCATGCTCCAATGTCGATTTACATATAGGTCAGCGCCTCGACAGATGCAAATCATTACTCATTTTATAGGCAAAAGTATTTCTGCATGTAAATAGAGAACATGAAAATATTGATATTACAAAAGGCTATAGAGAACTACTTAAATTAATGGGTCCGTTCATTAAAAAAAATCGAAATTTGGGGGCAGGAATATTTTTTGTGGATTAGCATTCATTAGAATTTCTTCAAGACACGACATTTGTCAAAATCGAAAAATATTGATTTTATTATTATTATTTAAGACGGACGATTTTTGATTATAATATATCTACAGTGCCAAATCGATCTCTGTTTTTTTAAGAGTTATCTGTACTTAATTTTTATTTACAAATATCAAGTTTGAAACTGTGCTTACGTCATTGATAACTGCGTACTACTGATGTCCTCTTTCTCAATTCGTGCACACTTATCAACGTAAGCACAGCTTCAACCTGGACATTGAATGAATTGATTTTTTTTTTTTACGCCTTATTAACACTCTGTGGATTATTTAAAAATGAAACATATCTAAATTGGAATACTATTTTTTTCTTTTTTACGAATCACGCAATATCATTCTCCTATATGCCAGTGAATGCTGGACAATCTCTTTACATATGAAGGAAAGCCTTGAAGCAACAGAAATGTTGTTCTGCAGAAGGATGCTGAGAATGCCGTAAACCGACGAAGTTTTAGAGAAAATAAAAACTGAAAGGACACTTATATTTAACATCTGTCAAATCAGTTTAAATTTCTAGGGTACATAAGGAAAGAGAGCTTGGCGAACTTGATACTCACAGGGCAGATTGAAGGCAAGAGGGACAGAGGAAAACAAAGCTTAACCTACCTAGCAAGCTTGAGTAAATTAATGGCTGGGCAAGTTTTAGGAACGAGAAACCAAAAAACGACATTTATTATAAGCTAAAAGGACAGGAAATTGTGGAGAGCCATGATCGCCAACGCCTTGAAGGGACACAGTACAAAAAAGAAAAAGAATATTGCATTAAAACTTTTTAATATGAATTACTTTTCCAGATACAAATCCTACTATTTAACCCATAGTTTAGGGCAGTTGATGGATCCTTAATTTGTACGAAAGTAAATGTAACTAACCCGACTTAAATTCGAACTCGACTTTCCGCTTTCTCATTTTGAGCCGCTATCCATGACACCTTCCGCACATCCCAATTTGCCATTTGTTTAATTGATTTGCTTTTTACGGTTTATCAACATTTATTTGCAGTTTATTTAACACTAGAAAATATTTTTAGACTGTAATAGATTTTTGGGGGGATGACAATGGTTTAGTGAAACAAGAGTTACTAATTAACCCATAACTGGAGGGAGAAGAAATAGATTCATAACTTTTGCAGGTAACTCAACTGGAATTTGAACTCGGCTCTCCAGTTAACAATTCCGGACCATTATCCAATTACATCACCCGCACATCCTAGCTTACAGTACCTGGTAATTCTAAGCGGTCAACCATCTAGGTACTGACTAGGCTCGACGTTGCTTAACTTCGGGGATCGTACGAGAATCGGTGTTTCAATGTGATGTGCCCGTAAACGTTGTAAATAAAAATATATATGACAATCATAAATATGAAATCTGGACGTTATTTTAAGTAGTGGGTACAAATGAAAAGCTTTGAAATTGATAACTTTTTCCATTTCATTGAAACGGTTGTTAAACACTTCTATCTTCTCTTCTTCCTTTTTTTCTTTCTTTCATTCATTTTCTCACTGAAACTAAGACGCCTCTATAAGTGTTTGGTTTTTCACGCAATTAAAACTGAATTCATGAGGTATTGGCAGGAGACAGTAAACACTTCTAAAATTCCTTCTTTCTTTCTTTCTTTCTTTAATTTTCTCGCTGAAACCAAGTTGGGTCTTTCCCTCTCTATCCACGCGATCAAAACGGAATAGTCCATTATTTATGAGGTATTGGCAGGAGAAATTAAACACTTCTATTTTCTTTCTTTCTTTCTTTCTTTCTTTCGCTGAAACCAAGGAGTGTCTCTTATATGTCTTTTCTGTCTTTCCACACGATCAAAACGGAATAGTCCATTATTTATGAGGTATTGGCAGGAGAAATTAAATACTTCTATTTTCTTTCTTTCTTTCTTTCTTTCTTTCACTGAAACCAAGGAGCGTCTCTTATATGTCTTTTCCGTCTTTCCACACGATCAAAACGGAATAGTCCATTATTTATGAGGTATTGGCAGGAGACGTTAAAACCTTCATGATATGAAGATTGTTTAGTTAATGCTAGTCTGCAGAAATTGTTCCAAATCAATTCTTCCCTATTTGTTTTTCTTTTCTTCGAGCGGACAAGTCAATTGGATTATTATTATTTACCCCGTCTCCACCACTAAGACATGATGTGACACAAGGTCGGGTTTAATGTGAAGACACCCGAGCGCGTACGCCCCGGCCAGGAACAAACATTTTAAACATTACTACCTGAAATGGTTTTCCTATAATTTCGAAAATGACGTCCTCTATTTTCCTTTTTTTTTTTTTTTAAGCTTATCACCCCAAGCAAGGCGGGAGTGCCATTAGCAAGCAAGGGTTTACAGCAAGAATAAAAACGCGTGAAAGAGGAAAGGATGAAGAGAAGGACGGGGAATAGACCAGGGCATCTGGAGATGTCGATTGACATTGCATTTGAATAGTTGGAGATTATAGCTGTCAGGGAAGCAAGTAAGAGGAAAGGAGTTCCAGGGGAAGTGCGAGATAAAGCTATTGGAGTAGAAGAAACGGCTACATTTAACAGTTTCGACAGTGAAAGGGTGGGACCGAGATGCCAACCTAGTAGCACGTTTAAATTCATGCAGACTGGGAACTAGCGAAAGTAGATCGTCGGAGCAGTTACCGTGAAAGTATTTGTAGAAAAGACAGAGGGAAGCGACGGGACAAGATGCCAGATCAGGGCCAACCACATTGCATATCCGTCTCTGGATTTTGTCGAGGACAAGACGAACAGCGGGGTCTCCAGACTATATATGGCAGCAGTATTCCATGCAAGGGCGAATGGTTGATTTATAGATTTGAAGGATGGATTCGGGCGAGAAAACATTTTCTGGCGCGACACAGAGAACCAACTTTCCTTGCTGTAGATGAAGCAATTGATTCAATGTATTTGTTCCATTTCAGTTCAGCGGACAGTGTGGGGCTAAGCAGTCGCAAAGAGATGCTCTCGTAATTTAACAAATACAATGTATTAAATGTTCCTAATATAATAATTTTTAGTGAGGAATTCTTAATAAATTAAACTTATTAAATAAAACTTATTTTAAAAATAAATCAATCCGAGTATACCACGACTTATGTTAAAAAATAAACAAATATGTATTTTAATAGTTAAATATGTAGTTTAATAGTTATAAATGCATAATGATATAATACAATTTTATAATAAACAAAGGAAAATATAAGAATAAATAGCTAATAAAAATAATCAAGATTTCCTTTTTAAAATACATCGCTTTTTTTCGAGCAATGAAAAAACACGCACCTTCACTCCGACATTAGCATTTCATTGAAGAAAACTGGCAAGTCCCTGCGATCAAACAGAAAACGCTTAAAAATAATGGAAGCCTTAATGATAAACCAACTCTCAATAATGTCAGTTACGAACACGGCCACAATGTGATGACTGTGTTCGGAGATTAAAACATTCCTATTACTATAAAAATCATACTTATTATAAAACCCAGGTTGTGTGTGTGTGTGTGTGTGTGTCTGTACGTTTATATATTGGATCAGATTTCCTACATTTTTCAACCGATTTCAACAAAACTTCACAGGACTACATAAAATTACCTTGTGGTGGTTCTGACAGTGCCAAAAATTGGAAAGACACAATTGTTTTTGCATGAAATCAATTTGAAAACACGATTAAGAGGCATCGCGAGAATGAAAGCGGGACAACTCATATCGAGTTATATTTATTATAAAACCCAGGTTGTTTGTTTGTGTGTGTGTGTGTGTGTGTGTGTTCCTTTATATATGGGATCGGATTTCCTACATTTTTCAACCGATTTCAACAAAACTTCACTTTTTTTTGGCAGGTAGTGTTTCTTATTGTCTTGCACACTTTTTTCTTTATTTTTACATTCAGAATGCTTTAAAAATTCCATTTATAAGACAATTGTTTATAATAAAATTCTATTCAATCGGTAGACTCATAACGATTGAAAACAAAAAAACAAAAAAAAAAACAACTAATTAAGACATGCGTGTCCGTCAACCTTAAACAATAATCTTTGTCAATTTTATTTTTCAGTCTTTATGATGGTCGATACTTGATCTATCTCTTACTGTTACATCCCCGGGCAATGCCGGGCTCTACTGCTAGTATTACATATTGAGACAAACAAAAAACATTCTTGCTAATGGCTAATCAAAAATTAGCCGAATGCGCACGGATTCACATATTAAAATAATTTAAATATTAATTACATAAAAAAATTCAGTAACGTCATTTACTCACTTTAGTTTATTAAACATTAAATTACCTCACTTAGCGTTCCCCATAATTTAGCAAGAATTTTCAGTTAACCTGATGAATATCTATGAGTTTCTCTTAAATTTAAAAATCTTGAAAAGCTAAGAAATATCTGTCAAAATTGCTCAGCAACCGTGACATATTTGAGAAAGACATTAGAATAATCAAAAACCACTACTGGCAGCAAACTGCCTGCATAAAGATAAAAAAAAAATATTCAGCAGATATACAAATATAGAAAGGGGTGTAAGGCAAGGATGTATCTTCTCACCGGACTTATTCAACCTATGCAGCGAGGCAGTTTTGAGAGAACTGGAAATCCTGCCAGGATTCATCATTGGCGGCCACAATCTTACCAACATAAGATACGTAGATGACACAGTGCTGATAGCAGACACGGAAAGGAAAAACCTCCTACATAAGTTAGCGAAGGAGAGCGAGAAGGAGGGACTAAAGCATAAACTACAAAAAGACAGAATGCATGCTCATCAGCAAAAAGATGAGCCCAAAATGCAATTTACAGGTCGGGGACACTAAAATCAAGCAGGTTCGGAAATTTCAATATCCGGGAAGTGTTCTGACAGAGAACGGTAAGTGCAACGCTGAGATCGGAAAACGTATTGGGATGGCCAAAGATGTATTCCAAAAGCTAGGCATTTCGAGACAAGAGGATTTCGTTGATAACAAAGAAAAGAGTACTGAAATGCTACGTGATATCTGTCCTCCTTTACGGTAGCTAATGTTGGACAATCTCTTCAAGGATGAAAAAGAGGCTCGAGCCAATAGAAGTGTGGTTAGACAGAAGGATGCTAAGGATACCATGAACCGAACAAGTGAGTAACGATGAGGTTTTGGAGAAGACGCAAAGAAGGAGGAAGCTGATACTTAACATCAGGAAAAGGTAGCTGAAATTTATGGAACAGAAATGGGAAAGGAATGCTTGAAGAACCTGATACTCACAGGGCGGATAGAAGGAAAGTGGGACAGAGGAAAGAAACGCGTGATTTACTTAACGGACTTTAACAAGTGGATGGCAGAACAGTGTTTGGGAAAATTAGCAAAAAGACAAAACTTATTGAAAGCTACCAGGGATAGGAAGAGATGGAGGGCCATGATCGCCCACGTCCCGAAAGGAAATGGTGCATAAAAGAACAAGAAGATTCATGAATTTGTCCATAAGAAGTTTGGTTTAGATAATGGCATGTGTCAATTCTTTGGATCTTAAAGAAAAAGCCAATTTCCATCACCCGAGCCTCTTGGAACTTTCCGGAACAGATGATCACCAGTGATGAAACCGAGGTGCATCAGATAACTCCGGAAAACAAAGATCGATCGTCCCAAGTGTTTTGCTTTACTAGTGTTTAACTTTAGAAATGAGTTAAAACTTGCAACACTTATAAAATATTCCTACATAAATTCATTCGTTGTTTATTTATTTTCATGCTTACTTTTTTTAATAGTTTTAACGAATCATTCAACAATTCATCCCCTTTCGTTGTTTACGAGTTTCTGCCAACGATCCCCGAACTGTTCAATGCAATTCATTATGTTTTGCCTCGAAAAATTAATCAAGCCTAGTTTCAAGCTCCACATCGTTGTCGAACGAAACACCCCTCAAATCGTTAGAAAGCTAGAACGTGGAGAGTGTGTGAGTTCTAACGTCCTCTCCTTGAAACGGAAAAACTATTACTGAGCCATTCTGTCGATAATTAATTCATCTACGCACACAGCAGAATGTCTCGAGAAGCTTTGTAACCTTAAATGAAAGCAAAGTAATGAAGATGTCGAACATGTTCATTCTAGTCCACTTGGCATTCCATATCAGAGGAGTGTCTAATTTGAAATAAAATTTCAATACCATTAAACATTAGTTTCACAGGATATACATATATATATATATAGAGAGAGAGAAAGAAAAAAAGAAAGAAAGAGGGGGAGAATTTAAAGATGTACTTAAATATTAAAAAGTTTTAACAGGACATAGTTAATCCAATCTCAAATTTTGAATTCACACAACTTTATCAACTTCAATATCTGTCTATATTTCTGATATGAGGTATTGTAATTATTTACATTATTTACATTGTTCGGACTGTTGTCCTCATTTTTATTGCCATATTCACGAAGTTTCAGCCGTTGTACGCTCCGGCCTTCTTCACGTGATTGAAATTTCGAACTGAAGTTGCTACAACAATCAACCTCGGTGGACGAAATAAAGAGTTTATTTCGTCCGCCGGGGTAGATTGTTCTAGTAACTTCCTTTTCCTTTATCGGTGCTCCTATTTTAATATTGTATTTACTCTGTACAACTTAAAAACATCCATACTACAAAAGAAAAATTTAATTAACATTTTTCTAATATTCAATATATAGTATTTTTTTTTTGTTGTTGTTAAATTTGAATCAACCATTGTATAAATTATGAATCTTGTCTCAACTTAGCAACCCTAGCAAATCCTATCAAAAAGATATGAAAAAAAGGATCTGCAGTATTTCAAAATACAGTGTAACCCGGATGTAAGAGAGTTGTCGGGACCGGAGAAGTCTCTTATATCCGGGTTTCTCTTATATCCGGGTTTGGTCTATTTTGTTTACATTAACACAGGCTCTAATTTGGGACCAGAGAAATCTCTCTTATATCCGGGTTTCTCTTATGTCCGGGTCTCTTATATCCGGGTTACACTGTACATTAAAAATAGGTTTTTATCTCACCAATATTAAAGATTCACTGGATGACCAGAGTTACTCAGAAACAAAGAAAACTGCTACGAAAAAATTTCTTCGATATTTTTCACAGAACATCATAAAAACAGAATGGATATATGTAAAAACTTAATATACAAGCAAATTTAAGCATATAAACAAACACTTAAATATATATTTCTATTAGCAAACTTCTTCCGATATATAACCTTCAAACGACCCCAGATTTCATTATTAACAGACAATAGCAAATGAGTATGCGACACTTAACGCCTACGAGTTTCGATTCATCACACCGTGGGATACAAATAAAATGTCCATGGATGCCATCAGCAGGGATTGGGCATTATCATAGAATTGTTTCTGGTTCAGAGAGTGTTAATTCGATTGGTTGACTCGTTTATTTATTCCTTCACGAAGTGCTTAATTTATTGATAGTCAAAACATCAGGGGGGTCATACTAAGTACCTCGTGGTGGTTGATAATTGGAATGAAGATAGATTAGCGGAGGTGTTTTCAAGCTATTTTCTTAATGTCATCTGAATTTGACGAGATACAGACGTAAATCATCATCTGTTGCGAGATGACCTGACCTCACGTTCTGAACGTGATCTCTAACGAGAAGAAAGCAATAACATTTACAAATCAATTTTTTGAGTGAGAGAGGTGGGTGATTAATAGTTTCTATTATTTTTCGCGAGTTCAATCCTCGTCGGAATTTAATTATTTCTTCTCGGTCTGCACTGCCATTTATGGAGTTTATCTTCATTTGGCGCCTTCTCGGTCCAGGTTGCTTAATAAACAACATGTTCAAAGTGGCGCAGCGGATATCGGAAACGGTTAATGGATGCGGTATGCCGAGTTCAAATTTCGGCCGAAATGGTTGCGTTCGCTTTCGCACAGGTACCTTTGGGAATACTATGAATCCATCTCTTTTTCACACGTCTTTAGATTAAATAGCAGATCATACTGACATCTCTAGACTTCGTTGATAGCCAGCCTTTGAAACGGATAACTCTGACTTTAAAATCGTTTGGTTTGGTGGATTTACAACATCAACAGAATAATACCTGCTTCTTTTAGAGACCACAGCCGTCGCACCTTAGAGAAAAGATACACAAACTAATGCGCACACACACATGCACATACAAAAGCACACACACACACACACACACATATATATATATATATATATATATATATATATATATATATACAGTAGTGAGCATAAAGATCAGAACGATATTAAGAAAAAGTCTAAATGTAAAATAACTATATATTTTAAAACTTCATTGAACATTTTATCAAGGAAAAATAAGGATATAAAGGTAAATTATATAATTCCCAGATATAAAGCTCAAACTTATTTTGATAAAGTTATAAGAATAATTATATAACATTCGAAAAAAAATAGATGATCAAAAACATCAGAACGATTAACATACTCATACAATTATAATGGATACATCATATCCAAATGAAAATAGCATTCATAATTTATTAGTACTTGATGTGTACACCTTTACTTGCATATATATATATATATATATATATATATATATATATATATATATATATATATATATATTGTATATTTAGGTAGCGAACAGTTGAAATATTTTAAATTTACAAAAACACATAAGTATACTCACAGACAACTTAACCTCTTGAAGATGGTCTCGGATGAGATTGAAAGTACTTGGGAAAATAAAAACTATTTGAAAAAAAATTGTTTTTTCTTAATTAAGCCTACCTTGAATGAATCACAATGAAATCTTATCGACTTGATATATCGAAATTATTTAACCAAACCTGTTTTCATATATATATATATATATATATATATATATATAGTTAGATTTCCATGGATGCGACACTTAACGTCTGCAAGTCTCTATTCACCTAGATAGATAGATATCGATATAATATATATATAGGAGGAGATAGGTTCGCCTATCAAGCATTTCCTCCCCAGAGAGCTCAACTGAAATTTGATCCTAGCTATCCTAGATATAATATATGTGCTCCTGAAAAATTTATTTCGGTTGAGCTCTCTGGGGAGGACATGTGAGTTTGTAAACAGTGACTATTACGGCTAATAATGCAAGACTCTTCGGTAAATCGAATTGAGTTCTCTCAGTCACTGGGTGTTTATCTAAAAATAAATACACTTAAAATTCACCTTCATCCCTACCGTGCACCAACCGCTTAGTGGTAGAATACCCGACTGATCGGGTTTCGATCCTAGCTAGAGGCAACCGGATGTCTATCCACACTGATGAGCTGTGATACAGCGAAACTGTCTGTCTGTGGATGACATATATATATATATATATGTGTGTGTGTGTGTGTGTGTATATATATATATATATATATATATATATATATATATATATATATCGGACGTAACAAAATTATACAAATAGTGCAAGAGCAAAATTGACCAATTGTTAGATTAAGCTGTGAACCGTAGTATCTTAGAAATGATTAAAAGTACCTTACTGGAAATCTACGAGGTTTTTATAATACTATTGGACTCTACTTTGGACAATAAGAATGTATTTAGCTCTAAGATGAAATGATGACCCCTCTTGATATTGTGACCTCCTGATCCAGTTTTCCTCTCTACTGATCCCACTTTTTTAAAATTTATTCACTGTTCTCTTGATGGTTCTTGAATGAACTTTGAAAATGGAAGCCAGAGTATGAATGTTGGTACCATTACTGAAGGCATGAATAACACTTTCCCTTTCACCATTGGTCACTTGGAAATAGTGAGACTGAGAGAAAAAGATTTTAACATGTTCTCTTTCTAGCGGAATAATTCAAAGTGTTTTTCAGTGATTCTTACAAAAAATGATGTCAAGATGCTTAAACGTCTGATCTGAAAACCTGGAAAATAGAAAATTAGTTTAGAGGTTTTTTAGATAATAAACATTTTGTGAGATGGACAATTATCCCAGTTGCACAATTTTGCTGTGACACCCGTTATATATAACAGTTTAATAGCTTAATATATATATATATATATATATATATATATATATATATATATATATATATTAGAAATTAACTGATGTAAAATATGGTTTCTTCGCTACACAGGAATTACCATGTTTCAAAAACCGAAGCTAAACACTTTAAATTTAATTATATAATTAAATTAAAAGCATTAGTTCTGTTTCATCTTCAAGCGAATTTTTAATATTTATGCTCTGTAAATTTACATTGAGCACTGTTTTGTAAAAATAAAATTATCAATAAGAACACCGGATTAATTATATATCTTACTGTTTTTTTCTTTTTATTGTAATATATATATATATATATATATATATATATACTATGCTGAGCGGACCGTAGCTACCGTTTCTGAGTGATAGTGCGTTATCCAGCGTGATCAACAGTCTGAGCAAGGCAAGACGTCGTGCTAACACAACAATTGACGGTCAAAGGTTCCGTCTACCCAATTTCACTGACAAGACTCAACCGGTAGTATAGCTTTCAGGCAATTTCCAAATATGTCGCACGTTGAGATCGCCTCCTACAGATCGATAACAGCAAGAAGTCACTTTCCTGACGAATCGACATCATAGTTGCAGTATAAACCACAGTTGAACTCTGTGGGTGACAAATGTGACTGAATAGGCCTCTGAGGATGGCAGGTTCCTCACTCCAAAAGGACAAAACTCCATATAAACATGTCTCTTTTATCATTTTGCAAATGATCGTGTATGCTCCAAAAATACGGTTTTGTTTGATTCTTTCTTTCTATGTGCCGTGTCCCTTCAGGACGTAGGCGATCATGGCTCTCCACTTCCCCCTATCCCTTGCAGCTCTCAAGAAGTTCTTTCCCTCGGCCACCTCCCTCAGACTACTTTCTGTCATCCACCTGCTTAAAGCCGCTTGTTTATTCTTGTCTCTCTTTCCCTCTATCCGACCCGTGAGTATCAGATTCTCTAGGCCTTCGTTCCTCATTATATATCCCAGAAACTTCAGCTGCCTCTTCTTGATGTTAAGTATAAGCCTCCTCCTTGTTTGCAACATCTCTAAGACATCATCGTTGCTCACACGCTCGGTCCATGATATCCTTAACATCCTTCTGTAGAATCACGTCTCCGTCGCCTCAAATCTCTTCTTCAAACCTAAAACCGCTTTTGTCTCTTGCTTATTTAATGCATTTACTTTTGTGATAACTTTTTGTTGTTCATTTCAGATGTTAACCGAAATGGCGAACTGGAATGGAAAGATTTCGACATGACACGGCAAGTTCGTATATTTTCTCTACTTTAAAAACATCCGTACCAATCGTACTGTCAGTGGCTAAGGAAATCTTTTAAATCACTAGTCTTTTTTTGCTCTATTTCTCTTATATATATATATATATATATATATATATATATATATATATATATATATAAGGAAGAGGTTATAGTTGTTCCAACGAGAGAAAAGTGAATATTTTAAAAAGAGAGAAACCGAAAACGTCATAATGTAATTTTTTTTTAAATATATATTATACTTTTTCCATATTTTTGCTACACGTGTTTCCGGTTGGCGACCTTCATCAGGCAAAGAGTAGATAGTTACACGTATTATTAAAAGAATGAACTTCCCTTATGTTTTTCGATGTTTAACCATTGTCTTTGTGTAGTAGTAAACTAAATGCTTCTTCGTTGCTGAATATTGAGGTGCTCATAGACATTTCCTTCTGTGTCAGATGAGTCTTTTGGATTTATAGAGACGTCCGCAGCCCCACATGGTAAGGTAGGATGTGTCAGTGGATGGAGAGCTCTAACTTTGCGATCGGGGGCTCACTTTGTCTCTTTTATTTATCTTCTGGTGTTTTTTCATGAACTTCTCTTCTCCAGTTGGTTCTTTCTGCATCATCCGTCACCCAATTGAACGGATCGATTTCTGTCCTAAGCAAGGTGTTTTTGAGTTGATCCTTAAATCAGAGACGTGAGACTCCACGTGCTGCTCTTTTGCCAGATGCGAACTTCGAGATAAGGATTTGTTTGGGTAGGTGGATGTCTCGCATTCGGGAAAGATATCCAGCCCATCGAAGTTCTTCGTGGTGAACACACAATTTTAAATCATCACCACGAGAACGTGAATCTCGTAACGGTTAGAACACAATCAGAACCTGGGGATTGCAAGATCACATGAAATTCCAAGTCGTGTTATCGGCGGGAAATATTATGTATATTCACTTATATATATATATATATATATATATATATATATATATATATATATATATATATATATATATTTTGAACAATAAGAAAATTAAGAATTAAAAAATTAAAATCATTAGACACACTGGGTTGTAGATTAATATTCTTTCGTTTTTTTTTATTATTATTATTCCATTTAGATTCCTCGACTAGTTTCGACCGAAATGGCCATCATCGGGAGGCGAAATATTTCTGCTTGCTGTTGGCAAGGAACTACAGAAATGAATGTCTTTTATATATATATATATATATATATATATATATATATGAAGAAATATAGTTTTATGGTGTGCTGTCTTTTATATATATATATATATATATATGAAGAAATATATAATATTATGGTGTGCTATATTTATGGGAATAAGTGCTCAATATCAGAGATAGAGCGTATGTAAATATAAATATAAAAGTGAACATTGTAATCAACACTCAGAGGCGACAGGCTGTTTCATGCTGGACGCAATCGTCATGCCGCGAATGCAGGACATTTCCTCGGCTATTTATATACATGGGTCAGTGGTGCATTGTGGGTAAACTATTCTGGTGGTTATTTTGCGGGAGTGGCTTGTTTATTTATTTATTTATTTATTTGTTTGTTTGGGTTAATTTATTTTGTTTTTCATTTTCATTTTGTATTATTTGTTCTTTCCTTTTTTGATGTTTCATTAACGTAGTAAAAGTTTGGGAGCGGGGTTGCTTAGGTCGCTTATTTAATAGTTTGTTTTAGTCTGGGAACTTAATTAAAGCTATTTATTCGTCCAATGTTTAGATTGCTTGCCGTGGTCTATTCTGTTATTTTGATGGGGGGAAAGTTTTTAATTTATTCATTTGGATTGATTATTTTTACTTGTTTTTGCTTAATTATGATTATTTTTATTAGTTCTAACGGTTATTTTAGCGGAGGCGATTTGTTAATTTATTCATTTATTTATTTATTTGGATTAATTTTTTATTAGTTTTTTATTTATTTACTTATTTTGTATATTTTTTTTATTTATTCTATTTGGTTTTCGATTTTTAAGTGACCTAGTGATGTTTTTATTTTATTGATATATTGCAGTTATAGCTATTTTTCGTCCAATTTTTGGATTGGTTGTTGTAGTCTATTCTGACGGTTATTTTGATGGGATTGGTTTGTTATTTTGTTTATTATTATTTACTTATTTTGGTTGATAGTTTTTACTTGTTTTTTATGTATTTTATTTTTATTTATTCTATTTCGTCTATTCTAATGGAAGTGGTATGTTAATTTGTTTATTATTTGCTTGGGTTAATTTATTTTACTTGTTTTTTTATATTTTGTTTATTTGTATTTATTCATTTCAGTTTTCGATTATTAAGTAACCTAGTAAAAATTTATTTTCATGTCTGCATTTTGAGATGAGATCAGATCGTTTATTTATTAATTTATTTTGGTCTGGGGAGGTAATAATAGCTATTTTTTCCTCCAAGCAAAGTTTGCAGGTTTTTGATTGATTATTGTAGGCTAATGATCTTTTCCTTATTTTCCATGATATTTTTTGTGTGATTTGTGTTTTGTTTTTAATTTCCCAGATATACTTTGAAAGCCTTGTACTGTTCGCGTATTTACTACTAGCAGTAGAGCCCGGCGTTGCCCGGAGATGTAACAGTAAGAGATAGATCAAGTATCGACCATCATAAAGACTGAAAAATAAAATTGACAAAGATTATTGTTGAAGGTTGACAGACACGCATGTCTTAGTTAGTTTTTCTTTTTTTTTCTTTTTTTACGAATTGGTCAAACCCAAACTCAAACAAAAACATTGTTTTCAATCGTTATGAGTCTATCGATTGAATAGAATTTTATTATAAACAATTGTCTTGTAAATGGAATTTTTAAAGCATTCTGAATGTAAAAATAAAGAAAAAAAAAGTGCAAGACAATAAGAAACACTACCTGCCAAAAAAAAGCGAAGTTTTGTTGAAATCGGTTGAAAAATGTAAGAAAATCCGACCCCATATATAAACGAACACACACACACACACACACACACACACACACACACACACACACACAAACAACGTGGGTTTTTTATAATAAGTATAACTCGATATGAGTTGTCCCCCTTTCATTTTGGCGACAGAATCGTGTTTTATCGTCTTTTCAAATTGATTTCGTGCAAAAACAATTGTTTTGTTTTTTTCAATATTTGGCGCTGTCAGAACCACCGCAAGGTAATTTTACGCAGTCCTGTGAAGTTTTGTTGAAATCGGTTGAAAAATATAGGAAATCCGATCCAATATATAAACGTACAGACACACACACACACACACACACACACACACAATCTGCGTTTTATAATAAGTAAGATTTGTGAAAGATGTTTTGTGTGCCTAGTTTCAGAAATATAGTGTCGGGGAGTCGTAGATAATAAAAAACCGACTGACGGTAATAGAAACCGAAGATGATGTCGAATACGAATTATTTTGTCTTTTGCCATTATTTAAACAGTTATTCCAGCTAATATACTCATCTCTTTTGTTTTATTACATTACATTAAATGAATCAGAAGAATATCGCTATACGTTCAGCATATATATGAACGGAGTATCTCATACTAAATTTTACAGGCAAATGACATCACAAAATAAATATGGCCGAAACAGTACCTCATTACTTTCTCATACCTGGAAAAATAATTTCATGTCAGCAGAATATCTACCCTATTACTAAGTACATAAGCATCTGTCAGACATGCGTAAAGTTTCTCTTTACACCTTCTTTATTCCAATTTGTTTTTTTTTTTTTTTCTGTGATTTTCATGCATACAATTTCTTGACTTCACACATTCATTCATCTTCTTATTCCGTCATACAATTTTTCACTGTTTCCGTCCATTTTCTATCTCACTCACAAATATGAACCTATATATACACCATTCCTACGCTTTCATCTGGGCCACATGTACGTATGATTGGGCGCCATATTTGATTCGGTTTACGCATGCTCGTAACACGATCTCCGGCTTTATATTTGTGTAACAACATTCAATAACAATTGCCTAAACCAGGAGACATTTTATGCGCCCTAGCGAAAGAAGATATGGTTATTATCTTAGATTAAATAATGCAGTCTGCATATTTTAAATAAATATCGCTAGACACATACACACAATATATATATATATATATATATATATATATATATATATATATATATATATCTGGATAGAAGTTTCATACAATTATGTAGGTATTATTATTGATTTCTGTAATGCCCGCGTATGCATTTTTCGCGCATATTTGATACATGTATTTATCAGTTTGGAACCGGGATAGTGGTGTGTAACGTCATACTGGTAAAAAAAAAAAAAAAAAAAAAAAACCTTTGTTAAACGCCCCAGAACAATTTTTGTTTCCCTGCCTTCATCAGTATCTGCAAATCATTTTGAATCCCTACTCTGTTCACCACCACTCGCAGAATACCAAGAATCCCCAAATTGTGATAGATTTTCAACGAGACTTCATGTGGTTAAAATTGCGCCTATGTCGATTTGAGTTTTATATATGATTTTTTTCTCAGGTGGAATTAATAAATACTGAACACTTAAAATACACTGACGTATGGATCAATTATAATAAATTAAGTATAGGAGGAAATGAAATAGACTATAGACCAGAGGTAATTTCACCTAACATCGCTAACTGCTACAATAGGGCAACCGTGATATAGCACTCAATTTTGCGTTTGACATGATAAATATTGACACAAAATATTTTTCCAAATCGTTTTTTGAAGCAACGAATATTAAATATTAAGTTAAGGTTTAAAATCGTGACGTTGAAATTTCATTCCAGTAATCAGTGATAGCCTTATAAAATCTATAATTTACTGAAGCTTTACAAGTCGCATTGCGCAGGAACACTATTATTAAATCACTGTGTCACCACATTTACTTCAAAGGGAATTAGTTTACTGCTACCAGCAAGCAGAAATATTTCTCCTCCCGATGATGGCCATTTTGGTCGAAACTAGTCGAGGAATCTAAATGAAATAATAATAAT